GAAACCCGACGACAATGGCAACGAACTCCCTCAGGGGGTTGTGGAATTCGGCGAGAGTTCGGTTCGGAGAGAAATACACGCACAAGGAGGCTGAATGGAGCCACTATTGGCAGTCCATCCCGACCTCCTCCCCCCTGGCGACGGTGGCAGTAGCAGCAACTGCGGCGGCGGCGGAAACAACGGGGGCGGCGGAGGGTCTATCCTTGGCTCTTGGTTTGGCAGGAGGGGAGCAGGCCTTGCCTCCGACCCGGTGATTGGCTGGCTTACCAACCGCCGCACATGCGTGACAGTGCAGCGGGGCAGAACACAAGCCGCTCACGTGGTCACCCACACCCACGTGGCAGCGGTTACACCTCATAGGTGTTAACCTCGAGCAGTTTGACCTGCGCCGAGACCCAGCCTACCAGGAGCCTTTGACCCTTCTTTATTTTCTTGGCCGCTGAGACGGGGCAGCTCACTACAACCGTTCGCAACCCCGAATTATCCGAACGGATCATCGGCCAGCGTCTTAACCTGCTCTGCAAGGCACCCTCCCGTCCTGGCTACAGCGGCCACTACTTTGTTACAGAGACGTCCAGGCCCATTAAACGTAACTCTGGACACGCGAGTCTCGTCTGCACCGACGCACGCCCTAAGCCTTTCTGCTAGGGCATCAGCGGTTGAACCGCTGGCTGCGCCGGGGATATCTAGTTAACGGGCTCCAGTCGCCGTCACTCTTAAAGAGAACCCATTACCCCGAACTCCGCGGGAGTTACCTCCCTTCTCAGTTGGTCGAGGACGTCGCCATATGTCATGCCTCTTTAACCGCGTCTGGCTATAGCGTGATCACTACAGCCACGATTATAGGGGCGACAAGCAGTGCCGCAGTGTGCTTTTCCTTGCGTCCTTGCTGCTGCCGCCGCCGCTGCTCCATTCTTTGGCGCTTTCGTCCATCCTTGGCGACTCTCCTCGCCTCTCCAACCACATGCCATCCGTCGCCACTTACAGAGATACCCGAAGTTCGGGTAGGCTCCATAGCTGGGGCTGCAGACGACCCAGTCACGGCGCCTCCGAGTCTACGAACTGTCGACGCCCTTACCGCTGGTTCGGCTGGAGCCTGCGCTGGCGAAGTCGCCAGTGGCAGGGCTCGGAGGCTGGAACGACCAGAAGTAGAAACAATAACAATAATTCAATCAGCCGGAAAATCCACCGATCACCCCCCAGCTCCTTTTACAAGACGGCCATATGCTGCCCTGCTGCTGAAGGCGACCCCCTCTGTCGAGCCGCCTTTATAATGATAGCCTTCGCTTGCCTCAGCACCCCGTAGCTGCCTTTCTGGGACTTCTGCTCAGTCACCAACTGGAGTGCCTCCTTCACCGCCTTGCGAGCCCTCGCCGCCAGTTACATTCATATCTGAGGACTCAGCTTCAGCTGACTCGGCCCGAGTAGCTGCCATCGACCTCTCACAGCCGTTTCTTCTACCCCTATCCCGAGCAGCCGTAGGGATCTTAGAGGCTGGTGCCTCCTGCTCGTTGCAGGACGGACCCCGGCCCTCCTTAGACTTGGAACATTTGAACGTTCCCTTTTTTTGGCGCTGTAAGCTCAAGTAGTCAGACTCTGCACCAACACCGACCATTCTGCACCGACTTGGGGCCCGTGTGGAGGATTGGTTAGACAACGCCAACACTTCCCCACGAGTTTCAGAGTCACTCCGGCTCTTTCCGTCAACAGCAAGTGAGCTGAGCTCGCTTGTTCTCTCCTCTTCAAGTGGTTTTTTATATTGTTTTTCTCCATACAATTCTCACTAGTATGGGGGAAAAAAACAATCCGCCCAGACAGTGCCCTGTGTAGCTGGGTAAGTACATTTAGTACTCAACTAGAGGGTCCTCTAGTAGGGGGTGCGCTCACGGCTGACACTTTTCCTCAGCCATGCATACCCTCCACCGCACCAGAACTTGGTATTGAAGGATTTTTATATAGACGTTATCTTCCTCGCGGTCCGGGCGACCAAGCCAAGACCCTCGTCCCGTTCTGAGTCATGAGACATGATTATGATCTCTTCCCGGATTACGATTTCGACGGTTACAGTCGAGGACACATGTATCCCGATGCTGCTCGTTGGCAGGGTGAGTGCACAACCGCCCTTGCCTCTCCGCCACGTTCTCTGCTAAGTTCAGAGAGACGGGCGGAAAGCGACCCTTCGGAAGCGCAGGCTATGTCTCTGCACAAAGCCTGCCATGTCCAGAACCCATCCCGGGTTCTTCCGTCCTGTCCAAAAGTTACCTACAGGTATTAGCCACTCCAACCCTATCACTCCCGTTAGGGAGACTATTACCTGTACCCAGAGTGCACTTCGGGGAGCTTAGGTATACCATAATTCCTAATTAGGTATAAATTTAAAATTGCCAACCTGCATTGAGCAAGCGTGGTTAATACCTTCTCCGTATGAGAAGAGATCTTTGGTCAGCACTGGCCACTTATAGGCTGTTGATGTGATAGAATCTGAAATATGTAGCTAAGTATCGATTTAGATAGTTTCAATAATAGATCTGTAGATTGTTTCTTAGCTGTAATTAATGACTTATTTCAAACCAACATCTGGATCAAGATATATTTTTAAAATTTGTTTTTTGGAGTCTTAATCCAAAGATTTTGTGTTCTTATTATTTTTTATTAATTTCAACCGTTACACGAAATGTAAGCCTGGTACGTTTTTTAAAAAGCCAAAATTCTAACTAAATACACATAACATCATGCTTTTTATCCCCGTAGGGGTAAGCACAGGTGCACATTACGACACTTAATGTAACACCCACTTTTCAATATTTATGTTATGGTTCCCATGTAACAGGGGGTGAGCCTATTGCCATATACTGGGCACAATTCCAGACTCCGTGCTACTACTGAAGCTTTTTTGTTAAAAACCCGTTGGTACTTTGCCCATCCCGAGAATCGAAATCGAGACCCCTTGCCCAACTGTCACAATTGCGAACACTCGGCCATTGAGGCAGTCTAATTAAATACTAGTTTATTCAATGGAGCGGTTGGTCAGACTGACGAATTCTAATTCTTCGTAAATTGTGATTGCTGCTGTACGATACGAAAACTGCTCGGTATCTTATAAGGTAGACTAGATATATCTAGAGGAATAAAACATGTCATTACGCTTCTAATCCCCAATCAGGCGGGCAACAGTACGCAATGTAAGGCACAGTGACCACTTTAGTCTCACGCTGACCGCATACCTCAGCGCGTAGTTTGATAGACGACGACTAAATCGTAACCTTACGGCCTGGCCACGAAGATCGACGCCGTGAACGGCGGAGCGACGGGCGAAGCGTCTATTCGCGAGGCGGCGTTTGCAGGCCACCGACAGACACGATTGCCAGCGCGAATTTTCTTTCTCTCGTTCGGTAAAAAACCACCCCGTTCCTACTCCTGCTCTTCGAGCCAGAGCCCCGGCAACTCTTTAGGCCTTCCACGGCTCCGTATATAGCTACCGCAGGATTACGTACTCCATACATAAAATGTTAGCTCTCGGTTTCAAAAGACTGTCACCGTATTGATTTATTATTTTTTTTCACTCGCTGGTGAAATTCGCTCGGTATATTGAGCTGGACACGCCGCCGATCGCTGCGCTGCGTGGCTACATTTGTATGTATTTATTTCAGTCGCTAGACGCCTTGCCGGCCGCACCGCGCATATATTCGCTGTTGCGTATGTTTCGTGATCAGGCTGCTATCCGTCAGCGCTGACCGACACACGCATTATCCTACACACTTTATAGAAGTTCATAAGTACGTTTCGGCTGTCATCGCTGACAATCAGCGTGCGGTCAGCGCGACTCTAAAACCAGCCTAACACATATAATTGTACTCTAGTTACAATTTAATTTGTACCACTTCTGTCTTTCCTAAAAGCAAAGGCAAGAGTCTTCTTTGTCGTAAAAATTGAATGCGAGGTCTCTTGGCTTGATTGACAGGTATGCGTTTAGCAATACCTTAACACATTAAACGCCATGGCGGTAACCGGTCTCCAACCTTAGCGGAAAATTTGCCGTCGGCAGTTTTTTATAGGCAGTCAAAGCCTTAATCAATAAGGCAAACACCTTAGAGACAACGCTCTGATCAATAAAAATATCTCTAAAATTAGATTATTGTAGGTTGACGACGACCGACGAATAAAGGTGTAAAAAAATAATAAATATTCCTAAAATTTTTTAAACAGTGGAAGTTCCAGAAATTTCTTATAATAGAAATATTTAGTCTGAATAACAAAACACTTAAGAATTTTTGCGAGAATTTTTGTATCCATGCTTCAAAAAAAAAGCTCAAAAGGGTCAGGGTTTATAAATAAAATAAAATGAAATTTTATTTATTAATTTTTCCATTAGGTAACAGTCTGTGATAGCGTCGTCTATAACCGTAGACAATTTACCATAATCTCCACGGTTCGAAAATGGATTGGAATTCCCAGACTAAAGGTTCACATCATATCAAATCAACAGCCTGTAAAGTACCCTCTACTGAGGAAAAGCCTCTTGATACAAGGAGAGGGTTAAAACATTAATCACCATTTTAGTTTTAGACACCTGTTAAATATGGTGAAGAATACAAATCCGCACCCTTATGCACGAAAAACGAGCATCCTCTGTGCCACTACGATTTCATGGTGTGGTTCAGGTTTATCAGAAAGCGCCGCTACTTTTTTGTCAAATGTGTAGTTCGTTAGTTGGGTTTTGTCGAACCCCGTGGGAAGAGGAGGAAAGAGTGACAAAACTCTTTTCTGCCATTCCAAGTCTTTTCAATGAAGTAGTTTGCCTTTACTATTTATTTAAATTCAAAGATTTTGGAGATACATATTCCAAATAAATTATTACGTTTTTCTTCTTACTTGCATGCGCTTGCGTCTTGCGACGCGGCGACTGTCACGCTGCTACTAGATGAGTTGAGAAACCAAAAAACATAATAACCAATTTAGCATGTCTCTCGAAAGTTATATAAATAAACAATACATATTCCAAGTGTGGGAGAGTCATTCATCGGCACGAATGGTTTAGCTCGACCGAAGTAATACCACGGCCTCACAGAAAACCTACGTGAAACAACGCTTTCATTGTGTTTCGTCGTCTGATTGAGGTTACCGGAGGCCCAATCACCCACCTCCCAATTTTCCTAATCCCCGAATTCCCAATAACCCCTTAAATTCCAAATCCCTAAAACGCCGGTAACGTACTTGTAATGCCTCTAGTGTTTCAGGTGTCTATGGGCGGCACCGATTGCTTATCATCAGGTGATCCGTCTACTCGTTTACTGGCTTACCCCATAAAAAATTATAAATCATTTTATAATGATTACTTGGGTACATAAATGGTGATATCATTTATGTACCAATTACTAAGTGCACTTACGTAACAGATAAAACATTTGTACTTTGAACTTTTTGGTTATAAGTTCATACTTCTTACTAAACAATGTATACTTTCACCTAATATCCATACACCAAATTCTGATGTTATAGTAGTAAAAATTCCCGAAATGCAACAAAACACGCAGACTGAATATAGAACAGTAACATTGACAGCATAGTTAGCGCCGTGACTCCGAGCGCCCGGCTACGAGTTCTAAATTCTTAGTATCATCACAAACTTTTTTGGTGTTTCACGGACGCGCTGCCTCATGGGTACCGTCGATTGCTTACTATAAGCGTTCCATTGGTTCGTTTACCTTATATTCTGTAAAAAATCGAAATACCCCAATAATTATCTTACTCAACACAGGAATAGAATCCGATAAATTGCTCAGCTCGCTTTGCAACCAATGGGCTAAGGAGGTGACTTAAAAATGTTATTCTTTTAGAAAACCTGTGTAAGGTTTCACTTGTCAGTACCAGTATTTTAAATGTTTAAACTAGAAAAATAATAACTCTGTCCATACCTTAGCTACTACGCCAAAATAAAACAGCATTCTTGATTCCAAAGACAACACAATTAGTATAAAGTTGTACTTGATTGAATTTCGTTGTTGAAAAATTTATACCAAACAATTTTTGTGCGATATTCGTCTAACTTGATCGTTTTATTCAATATTTATATCAGCGTGCTGAAAAGCATGGAATTTTTGCATTAAACATTGACCAAATGTCAAAAAACATTACAATTTGCCTAATTTCATAGCTGTTACGAAACGTGATGTAGCGTGGGTGCAATTACGTCACAGAAACATAACTTTACAATTATTGTTCCGTGCCTAACCAGTCAGTCCAATCTACAATCTTAGTCTATATCAGTCAAGTCTAACAATATCTCTCAAAGCTAGATGTAATAACAAACTAAAAGTATTCTCCTCTGCTATCACCCACTCGGGACATTTAAGCAAAATTAAATAATATGCTTGGTATCGTGACTTTAGTCCCAAGCCTTGAGCGGATTAATTTTCCAAGAAATTTCGCCGTTCTCAGATAATAAGAAATATAAAAAAGTAACGATAGCAAATAATATAAAAAATGTTACAGACAATGTAACATCATACGCCATCTGTTGGGAGTTAAGAGAATAAAAGGTGTGATTGGGCCACGTGATTTAACAGTGTAGCAAAGCGCCATCTACAACCGGAGAGAGGAATTTATTAAAAACAGACACCCGTGCAAATGAAATCAAGTTTACACTAAAATGGAAAGATGGCGTGCAAAAATTTTTTAGTAAAGTGCTTACTTATTGTGTTTTCTACGTCAAAATTATAAATTATTGTTATGATGCCTTTGTTATGTTATTTATCAGCAATGGTTCGAATTTGACAATGAAATCAACATATAAATTCATTGATTTAATTATGAAAATGAGAAGTAGATATGCCCAGAAGTACATACTCTCTGATAAACCAGCGAGGAGAATATAGCCAACAAGTCTTTATTATACAGACAAAACCCGTAGTCCAGCTGTAGACTTTCATGATAATGATGATGGCTCGAATGGACGCTGTAGACAGTCTTTACCATTATTATGTCGTTTTCGTTTTCAAACACCAATGCGACATTATTATTATTGCAACAAATACAATGCGCCTTAAGTTCTGCACCAATTTTAAAGCTTTTTAACTGTACACGCAATGGATAATGGACTCAACGATACGGTATTCGTGTAATGTGTTGTAGAGCACGGCCGCTGAAAGCCGCCGCGAGTTTAGTGTTGAGCTTGTACCGAGTTTCTATCATGAATTATCGACAAAATGTCGGTAGGCCAACCAGATTTATGTTATATGTTTTTATTTTTTCTTAGCTTTTAGAACTGCTTTTAACTGTGAACTTTACAGTTAAATAGTTACGTAAATTTTGAAAGATTTACATAAATATCTGTAGTTTAGTGACTACATAAATAAGTAAATCCAATTAACAGTTTGACTGCCGACAGAAAACTGTTGAATGTAAATCCTCCGCTATCGTGGCCCATAGGTACCTTGTATCCCATGGCGTTTAAGGTTTTAAAAAAGTTATAAGTACGTACATGATTTTAGAAACCGTTGCTTTACCTATATACGAACTAAATACTAAAATGTCTAATGAACAATGTCATCAACTCCTCAGGTAGTGCATTTAAGAAAAGTGTTCATGTTTTACACTTTTATTTGTTTATTCTTTTAAGTCATTATTATTTGGACCAACATCGCTTTAGTTTATTTTCGGTGTGTGTAACTGTGATACCGATAACTTTTGGGTTTAGTCAATCACTAGCGTAAGTAAGTTGTTCACAGAATACAGACACTGTGTATGGGACGACAAGGTTCTTTGTTGATTGTTTATTTTTGGAATACGGGTGTGTGCACGACTACATTTATATTACTGCATGTGTAGTAGTGACGTCATGGAATGGGGTGACTGCTCACTAGTTCCCCCTAGTCACTAGCTCCTAATTTTTGATACACTTGGAACTCTCTGGCATACTGTCAGATTTCCTATAATATCTTTAATTCAACACATAAGTTTTAAGTCTTATTTCAATTTTGACTTTTTCACATGGAAGATCTATGCTTCGATACAAATGAGTCGGCTTGGCGCAATGTTTTTTGCGGTAAATTGGAACTGACAAATACATAATTTTTCATCCTGTAAAACGCACACTCATTCAATTCATGTGTAATACAGACTCATCAAAACTAAATAGGGGTACATATGTACCCTGTTTTTAAGCTTTTATCAAAAAGTGTTAATGTGTTGCTCGTTTTTAATATCAGATATGTTTAGATTAGACATTTAGTTATTGTTTGACCTATTGAGTTTCAAAAGTTATTGTTATTTATAGAAATACCCACAAAATATACTTTTTAGGGAAAATAACGAAAATGAAAAACTCAATCCATTTTCTATGGTGTATGAATGAATATTGTAAATAATAATTATAAATATTGTTATATTTATTTCTGAAGGGGACCTCCCCTTGGTCCTATTTAGGTCTATTTGTTACACTTTTATGTGGTCAGTGACCATCACTTCTAGTAGCCGTTCTCAACAGACTTTAAGCGTATTTCCTGTCGATTGTTATTTGACTTTAAGTCTCTATGAGGCTTTTTAGTTGATTCCGTAGACTTTAAATAGTTTGAATACTGGGTCTCATTAAAAGATATAGTAAAACTCTAATATGGGTACCAGAAGAATCACTTTTTGTCGAACTGGTTGTTTATAAACGAGCATTGCCTCACAATATTGATTTGCAAACATAGAATAGTTTTTACGAGTATCACTCACGAGATGGGCACTGTACGGGTAAAACCTCTGTGGGATTGTTTATTTTTGAAACCATGAAAATAAATTAATTTCTCAATAAATATTATAATCTAACCAAGGTATATCCAACGGCTGTACGACATTTCTTGAAACCCAATTTAAACTATAATCCTATATTATAATATATTATAATCCTCTCGCCTGCGATACAGGATTGTCCTAGTGCAGGCAAATAACATTGTGAGGACAATTGTACGTATTAGGAAATGTTTTTGTATTTCGCATTTTTTTAATCTATACTTATAATTAATCTGTAGAGAGGTCAATTCTGTACATAACATATATTTAAAAAATAACTATCAAGGGGTGGTTAGGGATCGCTACTGATGCCAAAAATGCAATCAGTAAAATTTTTGTCTGTCTGTCTGTCTGTATGTTCGTTATGGAAACAAAAACTACTCGACGGATTTTAACGAAATTTGGCACAATTATTCTTCATACTCTTGGGCAGGTTATAGTATACTTTTTATTACGCTACGATCAATAGGAGCAGAGCAGTGAAGGGAAATATTGGGAAAACGGGAGAAGTTACTCCATTTTTTAAGCTTCTGTCGCGTGTGCAGGCTTACAGGTTAAAGCTGCATAGAAATTATGTATGACGGAAATATTCTCCATAAAATTATATAAAAAATATTCCTCGACAGCATATCTTTTATGGTTGACTCTATCTTTATTGAGTCTATCTTTTATGGTTGACTCACAATAACACGTGAAACTCCCGATAGCTTAGCAATTCGGTGATTTCTGATTGTATTTGTCTACTCTAACGTTTACAATACTCATTCATAGACTTTACGTTGTAACTGAAAGGCCAATGGTTGAAATTAACTTGACTTGATATTAAAAATGAAAATATGTGAGTTTATGTGTATGTTTGTTACTCAGTCATATTAAAACGACTGAAGGGACCGGAATGAAATTCGGAACAGAGGTAGATTATGGTCTGAAGTGATACATAGGCATTTACCCCTGGGATCGCGGGCGAAGCCGCTGGCAGAAGCTAGTTATTAATAAAATTATTATTATATAAAAACAAAAAAAATACAGAATTCGCTATTTCACGCGGACGAAGTCGCGGGTAAACGCTAGTAACTGTTATCATGTAAACATAAGTTGTGTAGACCGATAAAACAGCATTATAGAGGTAATATATAACAGTAATGAAATAATATATGTTTTAGAACAAGATTGTATACGGCTACATCTATTATCTATAAGTACTAGATGTTGTATTTAAAATCACAATTAAAAAAAAACATTGCCCCACATTAGGATTTCTCCTGTGTCGTGGGTGCGTTTACAAACATACAAGTTCACATACACAAAGTGTTGTTCCGTGCGGGAATCGAAC